GTCAGATAGTGGATTGCACCTAACGATGACCGTTAAAATCGATTTATTTGTAAGTTGTGCTTCATCATGTACGCAATGCAGCATGTAGAAACGTCACTAATGAGCTGAAGTAATCAGACAGACAAAAAAGGCGTTGAGAGAAGTATGGACAGTAATATATACTGCAAATTTTCAAAAAATTATTTCACATATGGACGATGAATCCATGAATCATCCAATGAAAGTGTAGATGACAGGCATAAGCCGTATGATTCATCGTGCTTATCAGCTGGACACAAGGGGTAAGAGCAGCCAATGGTCTCATCAAAGTTTGTAAACAACACCTTATTCATAAATCTGCTTAGACGGACAGCTCCATCAGTGTACTTCGCAATGACATAATCCCATTTAGTTCAGATCTGGTCCTTGGCTGTTGTTCACGCAGATGTACAATCAAAAAGCGAAATACACAAACACCAAATGATAACTATTAGTTATAAATATAAAACAACAACTAATGATCGGTCATTCCCTAATGATGACAGATAGAGCTTAGGCCGAAAATTGGAATATCTGCAAATATTTTTGCTCTTCTTACTGCCAGTAGTTGAATCAGAAAACCTATTTACTTAATAAACCGCTGAAATGTTCAATTCATTATTTTCCTCTTTTGACGGACACAAGGGACGATGACAACCAGATGCGAAAATTTTTAGTGATGGTATATTTTCTTTTCAGAATTTGCAATATAAACCAAAGAAAATCTTTGAGACAGTAAACTGACTAAACATAATCTATCCTGCTCAGTTGAGTCCTAGGTCGTTCTTATGAGGTGGACGCGCAGCTGGCATGAAAGAGGGGGATGAATACAAAAAACAATAACTCAACAAAACATACTTTCTTAACTAGAAACAGCTATCATTCGACTCTTCGCCACTTAATTTTAAAATTCACCTGATTCCGAGGGAATTCGAGCAATTTTTGGAACATCTCAGCCACAATCCAGTTGACTTTGGCCATGGCAAACTGTAAACCGTCGCCGGTTATGAACGTGAGATCTCGAAAGTTCTAAACAAATGGAGCGTTTAACAAGAATCAGCCTTAAATTAATTCAATAGTTAAGCAATTATTAGACAGGATCTTCTAAAAGTATTAATGCCACATACGCAAGAATAAGTTCTTGAATAAGTTCTTGCTACTCAGAACTAACAATAATTTCGTTTATTGCTTGAATACGCGGAAAAACAGATTCTTCATAAGGGACAAAAATACACACTCTGCGATCGTTTGCCGAAGTAACGCCATCGACTGCGTGTTGCTGATTTTGGACAGCTGGGTTAATTCTCAGATGTGCAAGTTAACTGGAAATAACTGAATCTGACGAATAAACAATCGCAGACAAAATGACGGAAGCGCAAAGATTCAACCACTGGTGAGGCAGGATAAAATTACCGGAAGCTCTGACTACATCATCGCGATGTGTGACGGGTTGCTACCGTTATCTAAAAGGTCTGCTACGAACATCGGATATGCGGAGTTCGATTCCGCTTGAGGGCAATCCTTGTCTTATTCACAAATTCCCATGAGCAAGGAATCTACCACGTAGCGCTCCATACCGGTGTTGCTCAGTCGGTGAGACACTAAACTCAGAATCGATGGGCCCTGAGTTAATGCAACGGTCAGGATCACTCGTCGCCCTTCTTACTTCTGAGGCTGATAAATGAGTGCCACTGTTGGGAGGAAACAGGATACCATATGGCACGCTTGCCAAATGGCTGTAGACTGTCTTTCAAATATGAGACACTCCTGACTGATGGCATACAAACGGAGATCTACCGCACTTCCAACTTCATGAAAAGAGGGCGTCAAAATCACCCAGTCACGAAACTGAAAGACCGACATCCGGGCTAGGGACCAGAAATAGCGGAGAATGCTTCAGCAGGTTCAAAGTTCCCTCCAGAAATTCACTTTCTCATGCTCAAAAATGGTGCTGCTGTTGCTACTGCATCTGAAGAAATTCCATTATAAAGATTTCTTGCTTCATTTCAGCACTGAACCGGCTGTTAATTCTAGATATTAGATACCAGGCAATTGTTCAATTGTGCGTAATGTGACCTTTTCTAGAGCAAACCTGGTATGGAATTTTGCTGATAAATTGCTCCTTTATTTTATATGCCTTATTCACAGAGCAGTTCATTGGTTAACTTCGGCAGTCTAATTCTTTGGTCACTGCTGAAAAACAAGCATACTTGTTGATTGTATTTAAGCTGTAAACGTTCTTAATCAATTTGACGGAAACATATGCATGTTGAGCGAACAGTGAGCAGTAAACGATGAAGCACTTATAATTATATATCGATGAAAGCTAAGGTAGGATGGACTGAATGAATGCTAAACTCTTCTCATCTCCGAACAAGACATGTTGACTCCATCAATCTTATACTGTAGTGTAAGGATGCACAAGGCGAGGAGGTTGAGTGAAATGAATAGTCGCTGTCAGAGCAGGTCTAATTTTTCAAACAGAGGAAATTTTCAGGATGCACTGTACGAGTAATCTAACAAGCAATTCAAAATAAAGGGAGCTACAATGTACCGCTAATTTAAGCGCCAAAGGCAGTATGCGTACGCTGGGGTTGCGACGGCAACAAAACACAAAAGATGAATACGTAAATAAAGAAACAAAGAATACAATTTATAAAAAAAGTAGAGAATGGATGGGATGCTCTGAACAGTCAGTATTACTAGTTCGACAAAGCCACAGACATAAAGATGTCCATAGAAAACTACTTCATAATCTACATATTCTATTCCGTTGTCTACAATTTTGGAACGAAAGTAACATCACCTAAGTATATGACTCTTCACGCAGTTAGTGGAAACATCTCATGACCATTTTTCGGACAAGCCATCGCAACAATATCAGTCAAAGTTTTACACGGCAACATTTACTGCGAAATAAGATGTTTACAGTTGCAGCGACCATATCGTGGTGTCGTCAACAAATTTGAAAAACATGGGAAAACGGTGGGGGGAGGGAAGGAAGGGGCGATGCAAAGCGCAAAACTCAAACTCTCAACGAGTTACGTTACAAGAAGCGGATATGTACACACAATTGACATAAGCAACACAAAAGACATGGGATCAATAGACGTATGAGTCAACGGCTGTCTAAAGCACGGTATAAGCGTGAAATACATCACAAAACCACTTACTTCCGGAGCAGTTTCAGCGTTAGTTAAGATCCCGTACAGTAAGCCTAAAGCGATGTCGTTACATAATCCTTGCGAGATCTAAACAAAACGACGCAGCGGTAATTAACGTTGCGGAAAAATCGCCGTTGTGTAGCAACATACCAAACCGATGAGTGAGTCATGCCTTTCCTGTTCAGCGAGGTTGCTGACTTTTAGAATGTGGGTGTTATAAGCGGCTTCCATCTTCTAGAAACAAAACGAAACAGTAGTATATGAATTTGCATAAAATATGCTGACATTACCTCCTCCATGTCGCCGCGCCATTCGATGAACGTCAACGCATAGAGGTTTGAGAAGTGCTTCGCCGCCTTCGCAACGGCCATTGAGGACAACTCTTCTTCACTGAAACAACACAATATAAAACCTGAGACAAAACAATCAACGAAAATGTTATTTTTTCAGCGAGTCGAAAAGCAAGTATCACATTTCAAAAACGTCCCATCATTCGAAATGTCACAAAGTGATCTGACATTATCACCATACACTTACGTTTCGAACCAAATTCGGTATGAATTTACACCAAACAGCGTAATCCAGTGTGACTAGCTGTTGGCCATCTGGTACATCCCATAGTTGCAAATAGGGGAACGACCTCGTGGTATGAAGGTTTGATGCAAAGCATAAGCAGTCGTGGAAAGGCAGCAATGAGAACACTAGGGTGTGGCTGGGTTCGAATTCGACAACTTCGTTCCTCAGAAAAAAGTAACAATGTCTAATGACGTTTTCATGACTAAGCGAAAGAGGCACACCCCTTTAAAGAAAAAGACGACCGATTTCAATGCTTCCTTATGGTTAGACGTCGCTTCGTCAAAGGAAATGAGAGAAGACTTCGATTATGAATTGAGGGACCGTCTGTACGATATTTACCAGGTCACCGACAACAATGCCAGCGGGTTGCAAAAATTCATGACTTATAACAATACAAAGTACTGCGTTCGGAGCTAATCGTTGGTTCAGGTGAACAACGCAACAAATGTTCAGCATCGATCCAATTAACACTGATGTGCCGTGAAAAGCACGAAT